TACTAATACAAAGCGTCTCGACTATTGCTATCAGAGCACTAATATCACGTCGTCCAATAAATGACTGGCTTTGCTAATATAGCTACCATGATCATTAAAACAGTGTTTATCTGAATGATCTGTAATACGACGATTACGATCAAAACTGTTAGTGTTATTACAGCTGCTACAAAAACTGTAGCTGTTGCGACAACAACTACCGCTCAGACCGCCACTGCCATGACAAAAAACACCACTAAGATAATGACTATAATCATAATTATAACAACTAATCATATTACAATACTGCTACCACTATTACCACTAGACTGATACGCCAACTATTACCCGCTGTGCTAAGACTGATACTAAAATTACTGTGATTACTACTACGACCAATACTACTATCGATAAGACTGTTATTACTATGACTAGTACGGTCATGACCAGAAATATACCAGGTTGCTGGCACGACCTCGTTAATAACTACTACTGTAATAAATACTGCCACAACGACTTCTGCTGCAGTCACTAATTTAATAACATTACCAATACTACAAACAGTAGTAATGCAACTGCGACCACAACCGTAAAAGCGATAACTTCTACTACTCTAGCTACTGCTCGACAACTACGATGACCACTGTTACTACTACGGGCATTAATACGACTATTAAAATGAAGCGTATGACTATGAAGAAAACCTCTAAGATGACTACAACTACAACGCCTACTACCACTGCTACAATTACTACGGACTGCTACTCTAACTACCACTTTGCTACGATTACTATCAGCAACTACCACTACTTCGAATACTGAAATAACCATTACTACTTCCGCTGCAGCTACTATACTTCATTCTGTTTGTCGTACACAGCTTCCTTTAACGATGGTTCGATGCCTGAACCAACGCTAAATCCAGTGTGATCTTTACTTTGTCGATTCTAATCCAACATAATCTGGTGCATCTTGCTGCGTGGCTGCTTGATTCCTATATCTGTGTCTATCACTCACTTGACAACAGTTTTTCTTCCTCTATTTAATACTTTTCTTGTTGAAAAATACCTCCATGATTCTATTCAAACAGAAAAACTGATCAACAAGTATGCATTCACAAAGGCCAGACTTGCAATTATCACAGTTACGTCTCACAAGATACCTTAATATTTAAACTTATTCCTGAAGTAAACGTTAGCTGTTATAAAGTACGATCATGTGCCACGCAGTTACTGGAATTGTCAGGCTAAAAACAATGTTATTCATAAGTATCGTAATTTCTGGCGCACTGTGACCATTGTTTATATCAGGCTGTCCGACTGAAATGAAAAGTAATCGTCAGTCCCACGTAAAGCCAGAAAACATAAATTTAAGCACAGGTGCTCAGTCCACTCGCGTACACATCAACTTACAGCATTGGACATAAGCTTCGATATCCTCCGCTCTTCGTTGCTTTGCTTCGATTCTCTTGCAAAAAACCATAATTTATTCTACTGAAAGACGTATTAATAAATGCATTGTTATGACGTGTTGTTCTTTTCTCTTAAACAACAGAGTATGTCAGATTTATGGTTTAAACGTTAGAAATGCTGCCTCTGATTGACAATAAGTAAAGTAGTCATCCGCGTAGCCAACTGGTCTACCCTACATGTACTTGTGTTCCCATGTTTCAACGCACTGTCCATCGACGCGTCTAGAGCCAGTTAGGGCTTCCAATGCTACAACAGTTTTGAAAAGTTCCCCGTTCTCATATAGAACACTCTATCAAATCTAAGACAGGCTCTGACCTCTGAGTTCACGTGATCTTTGTGTCAAGCCGCTGGTCGTCAGCACCAACTAGTTCATGATCCGGAGATTCCATGGTAATTTGAAGATACCTCGAGAGACACCGTCAGAAGGTGTCAAAACGAGCTTCATGTCGTTTATCTTATTCAAGACTGAATCGGAATATTCCTCAAATTTCACAACCTAACAGCTGAATGAGGTGAATTCAGTTTCAAAGGAAAATAATAGAAATATTTTGTCATTCATAATCGAACGCTAGATAACGCAGTAAGGCAAGCGAATTAATAATCAGTAATCTGTTGTTCAATTTCGCATTATCTCACTCATACCAGTCTGACCGACGAGGGGAATATTAGTTAAATTAATTTCAGCAAACGATGATCCGGTGCCTAATGGACTTTGCAAACCTTACATTAAAGGTTCAGAATTGACATAGCGACAACATTTGGGGTGAAGTGATATAGCGAGCTTATAAAGTTCAAGGCTTCCAGAATTGCAGGTCTTCGTCCTGTCGCGGCGTAAATCGGTCATAATAATGGTTAGTTGTCTTAAGTACAGAAATCATCCGAGTGCGCTTTGGTGCAATCAGTCAAGAAATAGGAAGCATGTCGATGACATGAGAATAACATAGCTACAGTATGCTGCTCTTCTGTGGTCACACCAGAGGAGACAAAACTAATGGTCATGACTGCCTGATGCATGCGATTTTCTGTTGCAATTTGCCGTCACCCGCCCGACAATGGGTATGGAAATTGCGTCCACACTTTCTCACCGAGTTTCGACTGCTGACATTTGTCGAAGGACCAGTGAGATTCAACTGCGACCGAACGGTCTTTGATGTTTAACTCCAACCGTTGCAGTTCTTTGACGATCTAAAACATACGGCATGATTAATTTATGAACGACCTTAAATATTAAGCAATGCGGGTTACAATTTCAGAAGCGCCGGCACACTGCACCGTAGGTAGCTCAGACGGAAAACACGGCAGAAGGTCCAACGCCGACCGGCACAAATAGCTCTTGCTCGACTCTTGTGTTCCAAAACAAGGTGCCTCCAGTTCGTTCCACACCTAACAAAGCCGAAAAATATTGATATATAATACATGACGGGCCAGTCAAAGTGCATCGCTCACCAACGCTGTCTGACACTCCTTCATCACCGAATGCACAATGCAGCTTAAGCCGAGCAGCACGGTCCGATGGTACGGGCATTTGATCAGTTCTGAATATCCGTCAGCAACACTGAAAAACAGTGGCCGGTCAGTTAGTCAGTCAGTTTTGATTACAGCTAATCCATTCGGATCGTGGATAGCCGATAAAA